GTGGACGGAAAATTTCCGCTTACACTATATGATGCAGTTAACTTTCGTATTTCTATTGGTATGAATTAGCAGTAATTCTCTCAATACTATCGCTCATGACGAATCGTTAACGAGGCACATATATGCTTCTCCTCCTCTCAATTTCTCTCTCTTTGCCTTTTTCTTCCATATATATCGATGAAAACTTTTTCCAATATCGTGTTCATCGTATATAGGTACAGAAGCTTCAATAATTCGATTCATTTTTACATCGGACTATCCTGGAACTTTAGCGGTTCAGTTTCATGAATATACGGTTCCAAAGTCTCAGCGGAATTCGCAACAAAAAATTCGATGAATTTTTGTAATTTCACTTGATTGAAGAACATTTTTGCTGACCAGAATTTATTTCATATTGCGTTAATATTTATTTCAATTTGCGACTTTTGCAGATCGACGTTGATTTATTTTTCATTACACAATCGCGGAAAATGCATATATATATAATTTATTAAATATTCTACTCAAATGAATTCAACCGTGCGAGCGAAATTGAAAAGGCGCATGCATTAAATATTATTTTTTGATATATGAAACAAGAAATAAATGTTAGATTAAAATTCGATAAAGTCAACATGTAAATCTCTTGTAAATTTATACGGCGATAAAGATGAAACTAATTTGCGATAACGCCGCTGTTTAAATTTATTCTGTGTGACATGACATAGTTTTTAATTTTAGATACGTCGTATCAAGGCGGATCTGTGAAATTGAATAATAATATCCAGCTGTTTCTCTCTGTTATGCAAATTTCGTACGCAGCATCGAACAAAGTATGCATCGTAAAGTTATTCACAAAGTAATATTTTAATAAACTGCTAACGTTAACGAAAGTTGATAAATAAACTTCAAAAGTTGTGTTTCGATCTACTGTGCGTGTGCGCGTACGGAAGTTAATTATCGAACTCGGAAATATCCAATACTCGCACTTGCGCGCAAAAGTCTCGTCTGCGATTCGCAATTGAAACGAGCAGCCTCGTAAAAGACTTTCAACTAAGGGCATTTGAGGCTCCACTATTATTCCAGAAGTGCTAAAGTGCATGAATTTAAGAACAATTACTCGAGATAATGGAAAGCGCGTCTGCTTATCGCGTATTTCGAGCCATTGTCTCCTCTATCATCATGCCCCATTGATCTTTATCGATGACTCTTTTTGGGTGTCTATTTGAACGGTGCACTCGGAGAGAGGCTTTATTCGGCCGGGCTAAAAATACAACGCGGCGTCGCTGACGATGGCTAAGGTCGAGCCCGTGGATTTGGACAGATCGATGAAAATTCAGACACGAGGCGTTGTCCTCGGGCTCCAGACAGACCGACGACTGCTGCTCGCGTAAACGTGCTGTTACTCGAAATTAGAGGCCGTATCGTTGGTCAGCGCCGATGAGTCGATCAACCGAATCTCCGGAAATTCGTCGGAAATTCGCCGGAAATAGGATTACCCTTCTATTCCTCTGTCGCGAATCACCCCGCCGCCCATTCTCGTTGAACGGCTCTATGGTCGAAAATATCGCGATAATATTCACCGGTGCATCTCGATATTCTTTTTTGCGCCTTATGATAATATTATATTCAAAATTGATTTTTTAAAAAAAAAGCGAAAGGAGCGAAAGTTTTTTTTTCTTGTAAGCTCAACGTCTTCCTACACCGGAAGATTACTGTGCTCGGATCTGTGTTCACCCATCGGATTATAAAATGGAGATCTTATATGTGTAAATCTCTTCTAAAATGAAAAAAGGATTTTTATCAGTTTATTATAAAAATGATACTTTATCCATGTGACATTTATTAGATCGTATTTGTTGTTTGCTCATGTTTTAGTCTTTGTTTTAATTTTGTAAAATACAATTTTTAATAGAAAATTCTATTACGCGCAATTATGAAAGAATTACTATTGTTAATATTATAATAATATTATAATAGTAAAATTGCTTCTTCAACATGTTCTAGACGTAACAATCTTGCGAATGCTCGCTATAAATGTCGCTTTACCGTCTCTAATATCTCTGGAGTGACATTGAAACCCTTATACGTCAGCCTATTCTCTCAGAGTTTCTTTTGCTAATATATTTTATATTAAGAGGATAAAAGGTCGTATGCTTTAGAGATTCGAGAGAATAATGTAAATTTAATCACAAATTTAATACCGAAAATATTTCACCTCAATATTTTTATACTATAAATAAATATACATTTATTATCATGAATGAATAATTATTATAAACAATCCTCTTTCTGTATAATTAATTATTTAAACTTTATTCACTGTTAATAATTTATGTCAGACAAATCCTGTGTCTATCAACGTAACAATTTCGGTAGCGGCACAAATGATTAATTGTTTCGCTGTGAAACGAAAACATATGTGAAATATCTCGAAATAACAAAGAATTGACAATTTATTCGTGATTTTTCACTGGAGTTATAACGCAAGGAACAAAATCAAAATCATGTTAAGTATGTATTTCTTAATCAAAGGCGGGCAGAGAGTTAAGATTGTGCCAGATAAATCGATTCATCTCGATCAGATGAGACTGCCATTCGCATCAAGTGCCTTTTACTACTCGATACGACAAGAAGCTGACGATTGTATGCCAAGTGGATCGCGTCGCTTCACGAACAGACATCATCGCATATATTACTCAGTAGTAAGTATGCGCGCTTCAGTCAGACGTTCTTAGCAATGAAAGCGTCTCTTATCGCTCGCTTCAAAGCAGGTGCTTTCGAATGGATGGAGATACAGAGCGTATTTATGGATTACAACTATTATGGAATATCTCGATGAATCATCTGACCATCATCGTGATCCGAACAGATGTTTTCGAGCTTTAAGCATAGATTTCATCACTGATCAACGCTGTCGGTTTACTTGTTGAATAACACGAACAAAAGATATTCGAAAATAATTTCGAAATTTCAACATTTATGACAAAAATCAAGATAGAATTTTATAAAAATTTTTTATAAAATTTTTTATAAAATTTTTTATAAAATTTTTTATAAAATGAAAACAATTTTTTTACTCTGTTAGAAAATTCTTATAAACTTCTCTTATAATTTTATGCATCGCATATTTTAATACATGTATGAGTATTTTAATGTGTATTTTACATGTATGCATATATTTTATTTTTTAAATGTTTCTGTATATTATATATAAAATTATAGATGGAATTCTATTTTGAATTTTGCAATAACAAATTATAAAATGGATTTAACTTATTTTATCAGTTTCGTAAGTCGCTTTAAAAGGCTTTTGTAATATGCTTTCATTATGTGCATATGATTGTAAATGAAAATTGAGATTTACTCAAAGTTGTAACACGGCACAAAATCAATATATATACTTGTTCAAATGAATTTTACGAATTTAATCGCTGCTTTCCACATGATCAAAGCTGAAACAATACAACACAAAGATAAAACAATTGGTACACGGACGTATGGAACTATTACAAATTTTAATTCACTTTTCAATAATAAAACACATACATATCTCACATTTCGTTATGTGTGGAATATATCGTGCCCTGTGGCTTAAAGATAAAAATGCAAAGCTCCATATATAATTTTACTTTGTAAAAAATAAAATTAAACTTTATAAAAGCTCAATATATAAATTTACTTTGTAATAATAAATTAATGAATTTTTTTACCACTCGTTATAATTAGAATATTATATGATAAGTTTAAAAAAGAAATTCGCAACATATATAAATCTTTATAATATTGTACAACATGTGTGGCTAATTGTACATCTTTTTGTGGCTTTAATTTTATTTTTTGGGGGAACTAACACATACAAATTAAGAAGTGCACAGTAGCTTCTCTCCCGGTGAGAACAACGCGCGCGCACGCGCGCATATATCACTGGGCGAGATTCTCGAATATAAGCTCTGCTTATCAAATAGATACTTGGCGAGTCGAGTCACACAAGGCAATCATCCAGTTTGTCAGCGTGTTAAAGCACAGCAGACAAGTAATATGCATACATATATATATATGTCCAACTGAAATATCGTTACCATCTACCACTGTCAGAAATGTATAGCGAAATCTTATTGCTTGTATATATATATATATATATATATATATATATATATATATATATGCTTGCAAAAGAGAAATGCATACAATATGAAAGAATTAAGAATCGCAAATTTTAGAATAAAGAATGGCAAATTTTATTTAATTAAACACCGAAAGACGCATTGTAATGACTTTATTCATATTATCGACAAATCTGAGAATATTTAAAATTATTATTTATTTTATTCATATTTTAAATGTAGATATTATTAGACATATAATTATATATCATATTAATTTTCAATATAATTGTTAATGCAAGTTATCTTTTAAAATAATTTTCAATTTTTCCCATAAGAGTTAAAAATGCACTTTACTATTTAATCTGAAATTAAATATTTAATCTTCTTTATAAGTTATATATTCACGACGCGTTAAATTACCGAGTTTTCATTGAAATCGCGTTTTAATTGCGATATTAAATAATAAATGAACAATAAAGAGAAAAAAAATGGGGAAGTGCCATCAATTTTGCACGCAAATATAAATATTCAACATGATGAACTGATAAGATTAGCATCGACCAACCATGAAATCAACTTTTGTAATATTAGATTGATTGCATTGCTACTGATCCAAGGTTTTTAAAATTCAGCGATTTTATCAGAAAAATTTCTATCAAGTTGATATTTTCCGATAATAGTATTGATAGCTACAATAATCTGGCATTAACCGACATGACCCGGGAATACCTGGGAATACGTGCGCGTAATACAAGCGAATAACTGAAGCTTACATCCTGACCCAGTTGCCAACAGTCAACAGATCTCGAGATCTAGGCGCCTAGGATCGCGGGGAATCGATTGCTCGGAGTTATTCACCGTTCGCAGCGTTCGCTGCAACACCAAGCAAGTCAAAGGAAGGAAATAACGAACCATTTCGGGTTGATGTCCAAAGACGCGCGGATTGGCGGTTCGAGCTGACAGCTTCGAGATTAGGGAATGAGCGATGTTGTGTCCTCAGACGATTGCTCAGGTGGTTGGTAACCACCTTGGTTAGCAAAACCAGGTGTATCTCGATGAATGTACCTAAGCGCGCCACGAGGTGTTGGCTCGCGATAGTGGTTTAACCGTATTAATGGCGCGACAGGAGCCACAGACGTGGTAGACGCGGGTGGGACGCGGTGCCGACTGAGTGACCCGGTGCCGCGCGAGACCGTTAACCGCTGGTCCAACGACGACGATGGCGCCCGAAGCGGGCGATGTGTAGGGAGGGCTTCCAAGCGAGTACTATGGGGGTGTGATAGAGAAACCACGAGAGAGGGATGCTGCGAGGGCTCTCCCGTGGAAGGGATGGTCGGTTGGGGAGAGAGAGAAAATTATTGGCTGGAAGAAGGAGCACCGAAGGAGAGAAATAGTCTAGGGAGAGGGATGACGATGTGGAGAAGGGTAGCGTACGGTGGGGAAAGTGCGTAAAGGGGTGGCAGGAGCGAGAATATGCGGGTGGAAGTGGAAATATGCGTGAACGAGGGTGAACGTTGGCCAAAGGCGCAGGATAAATAATTATTGTTTGTAATGCTAATGATTTTGAGATGCGTTCTGAAGTACTTTTAATTAATGTTTTTGATTTCTGACAACTTGTATTTGTATCTTTCTCTCTTAATTATTCTAAAAAGATCTTATGTGTGTATATATATATATATATATATATATATATATATATATATACACAGGGTGTTCCAGTTATCTACCGTCATCTTTCAAAGACAAATTCCTGGGATCATTTGAAGACGATGTTTCCTCGGCGAAAATGTCAATCAAGGCCATCATGTTTTGCATGTTCCCGATTTTTGTCATCATATATCTTTGCAATTAAGTCTTAAATTAAAACTCAACTAAAGTAAACTCTATTTAAAATTAATCAAAGAATGTGGTTTTGTTAATATTTTATTTCTGCAAAGCTTAATTTACGAAAAATCCCTTATTTTCAATCACTTATAATTCGAAAATTATTAGTGCCTCGACATTTTCGTTGAGGAAAAATCGTCTTCAGATGATCTCAGGAATCTGTCTTTGAAAGATGACGGAAGATAACTGGGACACCCTGTATATATATATTTATATATGTATATATATATACATGTACATTTTTTCTAGAATTTATTTGCTTCTGTATTTTCCTAGGATTATCAAATTGTGTAATCTTTTTATGTTTAAAATTTAAAAAAGTATCGAAAAATATATTACATTATAAAGATAGAAATTTATTAAACTTTTAACGCACATGTCGATATGTATTAATATCGACGCCTATGAAAAGCGAATAATGATTAAAAAAAAGAAAGAGGGGAAGAGGAAATGCTACATGGAGGGAAAAGATAAGGGATAAAGTGTTACACGTATTGAAAAATATGGGAGGGAACAAGATGGATGAAATATTCAACCAGAGCGAGAGGAATACAGGGAAGCGAGATGAGAATATTAGAAGTGAGATAGACAAGAAAGAAAGGGATGAAAGAGAGAAAGGATATAACACTATAAACTTGTATCCAATGGGAATTGTGACCGCGAGCGAGACGGAATCAGAAATGTACATGTGAAAGATATATAGGACGAAAAGAAGAGGGAAAAAGGGACGAGAAATCCATGAAAGATCGAAACAAGAGTGAGAAAAATATTTTTATCGAGAAAATAATAGAAATGTCAGCATGCAGAACGAAATGCAAAAGTTAGAAAAAGGTGAAGACATGTGTATTAATAGAAAGATACAATAAGACCTATATATTTTAGACGCTTATATTCTGCGACAAAAAATTCAAAATTAAAATCTATTTATAATTTTATGTGCCATATATTCTATATATGTATATCCTGATATATATTTTGTATATATGATGTTTCACTATTTCGAATATTTTCTATATATTTGTATATTTATATACATATTTCTATTCTATTTATTATATTATACAGTACATAAAATTATACATACAATTCGGTCTCGAATCTTATCGCAAATTACAGATAGTTTAAAGCGGGTTTCAAAGAGAAAAATGGGGAGAGAGATAAAAATAACAAAACAAATCGAAATAAAAGAATTGCTTAAAGGAAAAGGAACAAGTGAAATGCATAGAAATGCAGCTAACAATAAGCCACAAGGAGACAAAAATACAAAGGTGATCAACGCATAGAGCAGATCCTGTAGAATGAGAGGGCGGATCGAGAGAATAGAAGGGATGAGAGAATCGAAGTGGGGGAAGACAAAGAGAAGAGCGAGATGGAAAACACATGAGAGAGAAAGACAGATTTGGAGGAAAGGAAAGAGCTCAATGTGAAGGCAAGTTGTGGAAAGAGCAGGAGTTTCACATACGATAGAAAGAGAATATGTGTAACCACTCCTAATGTAGATGTAAATAAAGTAAGAAAGAGAAAGATTCGGAAAGGAAGGGAAAAAGGAAAAATGAACGTCGGGAGAAGAAAGAGAGCGAAGACGACGAACAGAAAGAGAGCGAAGAGTGAAATTATTAGAGTTAGAGATAAAGCCAGAAAGAATGAAGCTAAAAGACAAGGAAGCAAGAGAGATAGCGCCCTATCGAGCGAGCATTTGCCGCAAGGAGTAGGTGGATCCACGTACTACGTGGAGAAGCGAAAGGTGGCCGATGGTTTTGTTTTTCCCGGCGACGCTCCTGAAGAGTGCCCGAGGGAAAACGGATCTACAAAGGGATATAAGTAAGTACGACCGAAGCGAAAAGAATCGGCAGCATAGATGTGGATTAATCGATAGAGCGTGAATGAGGGAGAATGTTTTCAGTCTGTTTCTGCGCTTTGAGATTGATGAAGATTGTTTTTCTTTTATTTCTTGCTATCCAAAAATGTCGTTTATTACATAATAAATAAAGGAATTTTAGAAGCAATGACTTATTACAGCTGTGCCTTGTCGCTTGGAAATATTTAAAAAGATTTAGGAAGAAGAAATATTTTGCTTTGCGAAATTAATATTCTTTTTGATAACGTGATAATTCTAATAATATAATAATTCTTATATTATTATGTTACAATTATGTACTATTAGTAAATAATTGCAAGACAGATATTTAATCTTTTTATATGTAAATAGAGGTCTCATAGTTTTATCGGAATATAATATTTTTGTCAAAGTTCTTGTCGATAGTTATACGATGTTTTGTCATTTCATGTCGTGGTTGTAAAACAGGATCTATCTGGTATAAATTTCCTTCCAATTTCGTATATGTATCCTAGCAAGGTTCCATATGTTGTTGCTTTTTATTATGTGGGAGATACAAATGGCCTGTAAAAGTCGCAATTTGATTCCTAGATTTATAGCACGGCTATAGATTGGGATTGATGGCAAGAAAAATCTTATTAATCTTATTTAAAGTAAAGTTAGACATAAGGGTTTGCAATATTAGTGCATGTAAATATTTATATTTATTTTCGTTTTGATATATCGATAATACCATCCATTAATCGTATAATATATTTTATAAAATGTTTATATATAAATATTATATATATATATATATATATATATATATATATATATATATATATATTAAATCTAGCATAACATTATATTCGATATTTTAATTAATGTCATGCTAGATTTAATATATCGTATTTAATTTAAATATTTAAATATTTAAATTAAAAAGATAACAGTTTATTTGAACGACTTAATCAAATTAATGTTTTCTTAGTGTACTATATTTATATCCTAATTTTTTTTAAATATTATATTATATATATTTTATATATATTTTATATATATATTTTATTATGATTATAAATTATTAGAAATATAAATATATTATACACACATATATATATATATATATATATATACATACATATATATACATATATAAAAGGATTATATATTCTCTTAATATATTATTGCATTATTTTAGGAGCAATTTATAAATGTCATAAATGTTTGTACCGTTAATACGATAACATTCCATCAACAATTTTTTTCTTAGAGAAATAACAATATAAAATACTTCCCTCTTATTTATACATTTTTTAAATATATTTATAGTTTACATCTTTTCTGCAGAAACTTTCTAATTAACGAAGAAGATTCTCTCGAAGAAAATTTTTAAAATATTTCTGTGTTTCGGTTTATACTTTTTCTCGAGCATCTTATACTCGCAATTCTAATCCAGTTGGATGAAAGTAGAATGTCATGTGTTTGAAGAATGAAATTTCTTTTCCAACGTTATATACAATTATGCACGTGTCGCGTGGGTTTGCTACTTTTCTCGATCCGAAAGGATCTCCAGGCACCTCTAACGGTTAGATTGCCTGGCGCAAAATGAAATTACATCGAATATCAAGACGAACTTATAATGTAGAATTCCCCTTTTCCCTGAGGAATAGCGGATTACCTAGGAAGAGGATACCGATATTCTTAGCAAGCCGCAGCCTCCCCTTAGAGGTTTCGTAACACTATACTTATCTCATATTCGTGGGATTCGTAAGGTAGTATGTGCATGAATAATACAATTATCTCACTAATTCTATTTTTTTATTTCCTAATATAATCCCTAATATATAATCCCCATATCCTTATTAATAATTAGTGAACACTCGCTCAAAGATTGGAGAGAGCAGCATCCGTTGTAATTTACAAGTTAGTTGGGCGCTAATATGGCTTACCTACTACGACAACAGAGTTCCGAAAGATTAATATAGATGGGGCTTACACCAGATATTAAGTGAAAACCACCCTCTGAGAGTATGCATATAAATACTACGCAAGAAAGATAGATGTAAGTTTAAATATTCTATTTCACATAAAATAATATAAGATTGATTTTCTATAAAAAAACCTGAATAAACTAAAAAAGTAAATAACTTTATTTTTAAATCGTTCTTTATGAGAATTTATTAAAAACTAACAGAATATATATAATCATGAAAGTACGAGACATGCAAGACAATTTAGAGAGTTTCCGAGAACAATTGCTAGTAATTGTAATAATAGTTTGAATCAACGAAATTGATTAATTATTGAAGAATAAACCGCGTTGTAATCAAATTAATAAAAACAGAAAACATAGTTTACTAAATTAAGTTTCAAGTTTCACAAGAGTTTAATTACAGTATCTAAATAATTTATTTTTAATCAAGCTTTGAGTCCATTTTATACTATTCTAAAAAAGTACCTACGTTTCTTCAGAAAAACAATTTCTCTTATTATTATATTTTCAGGATTCTTACAAATAATATATTAAGAACATCAATGC